ATGACTTCGGATGTTAATATTAGTTCCAAGTGAGTGGTTCTTTAAATATACCGCTGTGCAAAAATTGAATTGAAAATTTCTTATTTTAGCTTGGTGAGAAAATGTTAGCTTCCCATTCGTTAAGAAGTAGCATAAGCTGAGGATGACAGTTGAGACAGTTTAAAATCCAACACCTTAGTAATATTGTAGGAGAATTCCTTGAGCATTATACGCGAAGCCGACAATGTTAATGAAATAGTTTTCGTTGATTTTTGATTAGGGTGCAACTCTGAAACTCGGATACCAATCAAAACTTACTATGTGACTTGTGGCTCGATATATCCCGAATGATGGTGAACATACTGTGGCAATATTTAAAAAATAAAGGACTAGTTAGTACACATCCAAGTACTCAAATGCTCGAAGGAAATGTTATGATAGTTTTCTAGTCCTAATTACTCAAGCGCAATATCCCAATTCATAATGTCAGGACTGCTTCAAGGATAGAGACATAACTTGGAGATAGTTACAGAAGGCTCGTAAACGTGTCCAAATTTGATGAGAGACCAAATTCTTGCTGAATAGTGCTTAACCAAAGAGAATTCAGAACTCACTTGTAATGCTGCAAAGTTGTCATTCGTTATGATCCATCATAAACTAGAGAAGAAGATATGTACTGGAATTAAAGATTGAATGATGTCAACTGATATAATATGGACTATCGACGAATTAACCTTTACATTTCTTCTACGAGTTTTATCGTATTAGCCCAATATTACACAAGGTCGCGGACTATGTGTTAGCACTGTCAGTTTGCTCTCCATTTTTTTCTTAAAGCAAGATAGTTCTCGAATTCACGCACAAGGTCAATGATAGGTATAGGCAATGCAGGCAGCCATCCAGAGCGCATATTTTCAGAGGTAGCTAGATGTTGTCACAAGCGACAAATAAACAAAAGTATATTTCGCTTCGAATTATTAATGCGTTTAATTTATACAGGGTGGCAAATGCATTCTTCGCTTTGGGTGCCGAAATTGCTGGAGGTGGATATGTCCAGGTATTTCTTCTCTTGCAAAAGTATATTTGGAAAGCGATGGTATCACCCTCAAAGTCCACGAACTTGAATCAGTTGATAACTTTGGGAATACACTAAGTATGTTTGCAGCTGCTATTAAACTTCCACTACAAACTGCAGCAATACTTCACAGACTCCTTGTACCGTAGTATTATAGGTTTCTTATGGTAAAATGTTAATTCAAATGACCTTCTGACCTTAGTAGACTGACAAGCGAGTTACCGTTCTGTCTAAGGTGAACCAAACAAAGTTCCAAAATGTTTTTACATAATCGTTTTTTAAAATTTAACTTAAATTTAAAGAAAACGCACAGCTTGTGCGTACAGATAAAACTCCGCCGCTTGCGGTAGAAAGGCAACATAAAGTTGAATTTACAGTTTAAAAATATCGTAAAGCAAATTTAGCTTACTGGGCTAGGTCAAAACTTTAATGATGTGTTTTAACTTTAGCTAATAAAATCGCTAAAGCTGTAATATTAACAGGTAAAATTGGGCGGATGACAAGAAGCTGCAAGCGCAGCTGCCTAAAGAAAGCTCTGTATCTAAAAGATTCAAAATCCTTACTTTACATACTCTTCAACTTAATTTGCATCGTAGTGAAAGCTACGTAAAACAGGTGTTGTAGAAAAGATTTAAATCATACTAATTGGTTAATCAACATAAAGCCCTTTATAATATAAGAAACTACACTTTAGGCACTTTAGGTGTTGTGGGATTTGTAACTAGCATGCATGACGAAACGCATGCTAGTTACAAATGCATGTTAGTCTTTTATAGCAGTTTCAGTACCTTTTGTTTCTTTGTTTTTATAGTTACGTCGTATACGAAAAGTACTTTTTCTCAGAATCATAGCAGATTAGTCAGTTTTAAAAATATTTACGTTCCTTTTTGCCAGATTGTATTGCAGTATCTGCCACTGTTATCAATATATACACTCGTGTAGCAAAATTAAAAGAATTTGAAGATTATGTCGAATTTCTGAAAAACTAATGGACAAATTTTGATGAAATTTGGCAAGTATATACGCTTATAACAGGAAAAAAAAAAAAGATACGAGATTCAAAAGTCATTTTATGTATGCATTGTTATTAGTCAAGTTCATAGTGAAGGGATATTCAAACTCCACGCTGTGATATCAAACTGAAAATTAGTCTAACTTGGGGGTATGATCCCCTCTCACAGCCAGACAGGATGCGCAGCGTGAAGCATACTGGATAAGAGGCATTTGAGGAGTCCCTGTGGCAGTCCGTATGGCACTGTTACAGCAGGGAAGGTTTCAACTCATGATGATTCTCGAAGGAATATGGCGAGATTAGATGGTCCAATAACGTTTCAGACTTGCTATATAGGGTTAAGGTCAGAATATCTGGTTAGCCAATCCATGCAGCGAATATCCTCATTTTCCTGGTAATCGTTGATCAACTGATGGCTATGTGAAAGAGCGTTGCCCTCCATTAACAGGTATCCTGGACAAACTGTGGCCTTGAAAATCAAACATAAAGCTCTAAGATCTCCTCTCTATGCCTTGCAGCAGTCACGGAGCCTTTGTCAAACATACGCAGGTGGTGTGGCGCCCAGGATAATGCCTGCCCAAACCATTACACCTCAACCATCGTAATTATAATTTTCTCTGATGAGGGAGGGGTAGTATCGTGTTCCAAGCTCTCTTCAGATACAGGCACAGGTACGCCGAGAATCTGAATTTAGACTCATCTGTAAAATGCACGGTGCTGCGCTGAAGTCTGGACCAAGACGCATGTTATCTGCACCATGCTAAATACTTTCTCTTGTGTGTTGCAATGAGCGGAACGGAAACAGCGGATCTTCTGGCATACAGCCCTAATTCACGAAGCCTTTGGCAGCTGCAGAATCTGAAACTCGGATTCCGATGGCAGCATATAGCTCATATGAGAGCTATGAAGCTCTAACAGTTCTGTGTTGCCATGCTGAAAGTTCGGAATAACGATCCTCATTCGTCGTTGTGAATCTTGGTCGGCCTCGTCTAGGTCTTCTCGATATAGATCCAGTGTCTTGAAACTGCTTCCACAAATTGCAAATGAAGCTGAGTCCTCTCAAGAGCTCTGTAGCCCATAAGCACTTGTAACTGGCCTGCTTCCAGTCTACCGATAATTCTCCATATCATTCCCTAATTCATACGTATCCGATACCTTATAAAGGTTACCCAGCTCTTGCGAGAAACACGGCAAATGACATGAAGGAATTCGAGCATACCAATCGCCAAAACTCCTCGTGCGCTTATATACCCTCCACAATCCCAGCTCCGGAGACACACACGTGTACGCTTATGTATTCAACTCTGAATATTTGTATATTTCTTCTGCAGCATAATTAGCACCTTGGGTTCAATACGTTTCGTAAAAATAGTCATAGTATGCAAATTCTGTTAATTTTGCATACGAGTGTCCGTGGCTTCAGTACTTGAATTTTGCATTATAATGCATTTTTGAACAATTAAACTTTTATTAAGGAATACCAAGATTACTTATAATACTTCTATACAAGTTATTAAGTTTAAGACAATTAGAAAAATAAAGCAACTTTTCTTCAAAAGAAAGTAAAGTATTAGAATTGAATTTGTATTTAAAACTTTCGAAATGATTATTATAAAACCTTGAGTTAATGTTTAAGTAATTTCTCGAATTCCCGTCGTCGATGATGAATATAATTAAAAAAATCAAATGAATACAGTTTGCGTTGTTGTCATTTTTTTAAAAATTTATTAGCAAAAATATCAAAATGCGTATAACAGTTTTACATAACAAATTTTGTGCATCAGATATTGTCAGTAAGTTTATTGATAATCGCAATTGTAATCTACATATAAACCCTCAAATATGAAATAAGAACATTAGAAATAACATCACTGAGAAAGTTTTGTATCTGAAACCATAATATGTGATTTGATTTCATAAATTATTAAAGCAAATATTGTGAAATTAAGATCCGTACTTGAAGTAGTTTAGAAAAATGAAGTACTATCATTTGAAATTCCTTTAAACGGTTAGGTAAATTTAGATTTTGCATTTCTAAGATTTTGACAAACAGTGCCCTTATTTCATCCATGGAAGCTGTGACAACTTTCGTATGCTTTAAATTTAGAAATTCAAGGAAGAATGTAATTATAGTTTCGTATATTGCGAATAAACTGACGGTTGGTAAGTGAAATGTCATGGCAGAAGGAATAAGCTTAAATACATATCAAAGTATCTTAAATGTTTATACAGTACTAATTTTTGCAATTGGTCCCTTTCTCCATTCCTGACTTTGAACTCTTAGCCGGTTGAATAGCTTGCCATTCATGAACACATATCTCTGTGTTGAAGCTCGAGGACAGAATAGACAGGACCGTATCAAGCAGATCCAGTTGTAAAGATAGATTCTACCTAGTGGACTGCTGTCCTATCAGCAGTGAAAAAAAATGAAAATGTCTTAATCTTCATTCCAGATAACTACGAGCTAGTAAAACAAACAATCATCAAATAAGATGACTAATATCCTTTGTTTTATGACTAGATCCTCACATGTCACGATGTTTTAAGACTGGATCTTCAGATATCAGCGATACTTTGCTTTTATCCACGTATCCATATGGATCATGACGAATGTGACTGCAACATCGCCCACAACTGACTGGATCCAATAAAAGTTCATCAAAAAATTACGCTGAAGAATTAAAAGATTTAGAGGGTGTGCACAACAACATGGATTGCACTTTTAGTGATGGTTTTAAAGGTGGTGGAGTCACTGTTAATGAACAAAAATTCTGCGCAAGTTATCCCGTCTTTCTTTACAATAAAAATTTGGACTGCTATTATTTTGGTATAAAAGCTAAAACCATTGATTTTCGATAAAGCACAATATAGAAATTTAACATCCGCTTTGATGATGTTTATAATTAAGGACTTAACAGTTTAAAATTTACTCACCAAAATCGATTTTTCCCCAGCCTGTTGCCACACACCTCATTCCCAAGTATCCTGCATCCTCATCAGGCAGGCAAATGGCTCTCACGTAGTCGTTGAATTCTAGTTCTTTCTCGAGCTTGAGTAGTGCTATGTCTTTGTCGTAGGCATGGTACCAAGGATGGAAATGGACTTCAGATACTTGTATCGTCTTTTCAGGCCCTTCCGTCAGCTTGAGATTGTGTTCCCCGACTCGCACCTTCCAGAATACGGGCTGAGGTAGGGAGAACAGTGGGCTGTAACGGATGGAGGATAATATTTTTTGTAGGCCTTGCGGCTAGACAGGGGTCAACCTCTTCCTCTTTCTAATATTCGTAAGCTAATAGAGCTTTTCCAGTTATCGGAATTCTTTCTCATCACTCTAGAGGAAAGGGTTTTCCCTGAATGTATTAACCATGAATTTGTCTTAATCCATATACACAATTAAGGACAACCCTATATGCATTTAAGGACATAATTCGAACCCTGTACACATTAAAAGGAATGATTGGAAAGACACTGAACCATTTTTACATATAAAAAAAATTTGTTATTATTTTTATGAATTTGATGTTAAAGAAATTGACGTATTGCTCTATTGTACTACATTGTATAAATCTAGATACAGGTGTACAACGGGATATAATCTTATCACCTGTACCTCTTGTAGGGTACAATCATAATAGTAATCCTGTAATCACCATATAAACGTATAATCATCATAATAATTGTATAGTCATATAGGATTCAATCACGCGTACAATAGGTATACAACTGGATATAATCTTGGAGCATTGTATTTTATTGTACATGTGGAAATATTTAATTATTAATTCGCATAATAATACGAATTTAGAAGCTTAATTAAACTGCAATTAAATAAGAGTTTTTAAACTGAGCGTAAAATCTAGAGCTGGTATTTGACAAAAAATGAAGGATATGTTTCCTTAATTCGTGCTAGCTTCTTGCAATATTTTAGCTCCGCCGTATCTAGCATATGTTTTAAAAATGTACCCTAAATAATAAAAGATTTTGGGTATAAACTGCTGAATTTATTCCGATTTATTTTTAGGAAATAAATTCTTCACTTTGTAAGATTTATGTTAATTTTTCTAACGGTTAATCTTTAGTTAAAAGTCACTTTCCTATATTCCTGAATTTCAACTTACAACTTCCGGCCAAAACATATTTTTAGAATCTCGTTTAAATGCAAATGAGGAGATGTATTTAACTGTGAAGTTCTACTGACTTCGTGAGAGGGCCAGTGATTCTGACTAGTGCGCGTTCGTCTTTTTAGGCTAAGCTATTATTGCGCTCGGCCGTACTTAGGCCCTTGATAGCTTCAACGTTAGTTAGCATTAAGGGGCCAACTCTGTTAGAATCTTGATAGCTTTGGCTATATCTTTTTAGTTAGCTTAGTTAAGTTCTAGTTCTTAGTTTCCTGAGTTCAAGCCCGAGTGGAGGCTTTATTGTAACTACAAGAAAGGTGTCATCTATTAAACTTTATTTTGGATAAAGGGTAATTTAACCCTTTTTACATTTTGTTGTCTGAGTCACGAACTCAAGCGATTATTTGCTTATCAGTTCTTAAGATTCCTCAACTTTAGCTACAAATTAAAACACGTAGGAATCTTACAACTTCATTTAAAGTCTCTGGTATTTTAGATGAGCAATATATCAGAAAACATTCAGAAATATAGCTCAACTCACAGAGCCCATATGAAAAGAAAATACTGAATTTATTATATTTTCAAGGATAATTATCTTACCATATTTTTAGAGTTATTGAAGACACTTTTTAATATTACACCCTGATTGTATAGTATCTATCATTTTGAAGCTTTAAAAATAATGCATTTATATTAGCATTCAAGAGGCTGTATAGAGCAAAATATTATACGGTTAGAAAAAAGAAGGTTAAATCGAAGTCTATTTTTTAAAATCAAAAGGAAGAGTATATATCAAATACGGCAAGAGCATATGAAAAACTATCATCGCACATCTCTATGGAGATATTTGTCCAAATATTACTGAAAACAAGTAATTCTGTGAATATTTTTGGAAAACTCAAACCTCACCAGATATGTATTGTAAAACGCTAGTTATTTTAACTGTAAATAGCTGAAAATCCAAATTATTTAATTTCGCCAAGTTAAATAAAATTAAGTTCGTTGTTAAATTAGAAATGGATTTTTGATTTTTTTTCGATGTATTTGTAAACTTTATTTTAACTAACGCATTATTTTTATGTTAATTCTTTTCTGTATCTTCTGCTCCTTCCGTCAGCCGTCAGCAAAATATCAGCTAAAATCTGGATAGCGAGCAAACGTTTTATTAAAGAAGAGAACTACGGCAACCCACTAGAAAACTGTTTATTCCTAAGATGTTCATCTATATCTGGGTTTTAATGAATGCATAGTGAGGAGTCAGAAGCAATCTTCTGCATTATAAGTGTTTAAATATAAAAATTTTTGATTTCCCGCAAGTAGCAATGGCTAGTCTTGTCAAATTTAATTCTAAGCTCTTAATAAACTTTTTAATCCCATTTAACTTTTATCTGTGCTTTTAGAGTTTAAAATTTTAATAAGTGTGAAAACAAGAATTCGTATAAACACAGAAATATAAACAAATGTAGTTTTACAGGTAATTAAGTTTAACGTGCTACTTAAATCATGTAAAAAAATAATATGCTTCTGAAGTAACTTTGCATTAATTTAGAAGAAGGTATGTGACATGTAGTAGATAACAATGTAGGTAGAATCTAGGAGGCAACAGACATGAAGGAGGAATGTAAGAAGAATATATAGATGTCAGGACTATATATAGATTTTAAATAATATATATATTGTTATATTGTATATAACAATGTAAAGCGAATATATAGATTTTAAACCAGTGGTTCTCAACCTTTTTCGACCCATGAACCGCTTTTACCATTGCTAGATGATCACTCCCCCCGAAAAATTCATATACATTTATTTAAATTTACTTTTAATGTGTTTTATAAAATAAAGAAAAAATTGCAAAAATTGTTGATAAGTACCAAAAACCTGAATAGTTTTTTTATATTCATAAAATAAAACTTAATACTTAACAGGTAAATAAAAATCTGACGCATTCCCCCCTGAAAATATGTAATCCCCCCTCCCCGATTGAGATCCCCTTCTCTAAACTTCAATGCAAAATGTAGTCCTCTCTTTTGTTTGCTCCTTTAGTGATGCATTTGTTTTTATTCAAATGAAATAATTCTTTTATTTAATTTTCGTGCAGACATGAAGTGAAAAGAGCACCAAAGTTATATGCTTTCATTTAGGTCTGTTCTAATAAAACGTAATTTCGCTATTTTCTTAGTTGCGCTAGAGGTGGGTTTGTAAAGAATATAAGCAACTTCTTTTCTTAATTTTATCAAAAATAATAGTAATTTATATTTGGTTTAACGGAAATAAAAACGTTTTATATTTTTTAACTGCATAATTTTTATTGTTATAAAATAAGACAATTAATTTGGAGTTCTGTTGTATTATTAAATTGGAAAAATTATCAAGATATGTCTAATAATGTATAACATAAGAAATTTTTATCAATATTTGTCAGATTTAGATTCGATTAAATATTAAAATGCAATTTGTCTGGCAGCACTGAAACGTTTATCACTAGAAAAATTGCTTCAGATAAACTATACGTAAGTCAATAACACTGTAAACAAATAACTTTTAAAAGCTCAGTATCTTTAATGCTTATTTTTATGAATAAAATCTAGAATTTGTATGAAGGTTTTGCCCGTAGAACAAACATTAAAGGCCATATCTTCATAAATTACTTAGATTTATATTTTTAATTATTTTAAACAAGATTTCTAAATATATTTATTAGTATAGTATATGAATATACTTACTTTAAAATGCAATGCGCTGCAGTCATGACCCACTGTTTATGAATAATGACAGCTCCACACCAGTGTCCCACTTTACCATACTGCGGATGGGTCAGCATTAACGATGCCTACGTAAGAGAATTTTAGTTAAATTAACCGGAGCATAAATTCTAAACATATATCAGCTCAAATATTGTTAGATTAAACATTCTACAGATATCTCTTCCTGAGACCTGAAATAGCAGAAATTCTGCTACGCAGGTTTAAGACTCTTGAGCAGTAGGTGATGTTAGCAATTTTTGCTATCTTAAGAACGGTCTGGGAGTGTCGATTGAGAAATAATATTTTTTGACTATCGTTGAAGAATGATAACAGTTCCACTTTAATTAATAGATGATATTTTCTAGGTATTCTCCTCCGCATGTAGATATGCTCTACCTCATAATAAAACATTGACCATTTCTTGCACGTCAGCTACTACACTATCATACTCTGAAGACGCCCATTTTTGAATATGGGCATAAGAAAAATACAAAGTGTAAATATTTAACAAGCATTTTAATATTATCAAATTATATTAGCAAGTATATAGCAACATACACGCTCAATATACCATTTGGGCAGCATATAACAAGGAAACGAATCGAAATAACAAAGGTACTTTGAAGTTCCCACACAGAAAAACTGTCACTTTTACCTTAGGGTTTTGGAAGCAAAACTTTAAACTGCTGAAGAGTTTCAAGGAGTCTACTCATGAATGCTTTAGGAGCACTGTCATAAGAAAAAAAGGGCTGCCTATAGACTTCTTTTCTTTAAAACCGGCTGCTATACAATAATAGTCATATTATTGTTGTTGTTCATAATCTTGGTCTTCAGAAGAACACATAGGAATTCAGAGATATTGTTTATAATAAAAAATGGTTACCAATATACTTCTTTTCTCAAAGAATTTAATAGTAGGAAAGAAGGTGCACTTGTCTCTCTTGTTAATTAATAAACTGCAGTCTATTGATTTGTCATTCATTTCATCCACAATGTTTTGTACGACGATGTTTTCCCCCTTGCGTTATTTTCTTGCGACGTTTTCGTCCGCAGCATTCTTACCACAGTGTGCTCACCTGTAACCACTGCTTAGCCTTGACAGAATAGTTTATGATATCTTCTCATAAAATACAATGTGAGAAGTCGAATTCTTCTGAAGACTAATCTTGGTCAAAAGACATTTTACATGCGTACTTCATACAAGTTTTAGTTCTAGTTAAACCTTTCTGAAATAGTAGCCGATTAGGTCAAAGTAACGGCAAAACCAGTGAAAACACAATTTTCACAGTTCTGAAACACAATTTTTTATAAAAGTAATATGGAAGAGAATCTATTAAAAGTGAATATCAATATATGCCGACAAATACGTGGTTGCTTATAAAGATTTCAGATCTTGTATTAACCTCAACAGTCTAGAATTGTATTAGTCTCAATAGTTTAGGTGTTGAACTGAACTCTGAATATCTTTCATTTCCAACATTATCTCTTAAATCTTAAGAGCAACTACGTCAGCCCGGAGAGTCTCAGGAATTGCTGTTAATACACGTCAAATTCTGGATTCAGAATGGTAGAAGTGAGCAGATGCAAAGGAAATTTTACAGTCTTCAGTAATTTAGATAAATTCTTAGATGTTTTATTTTACAGTATTATGAGTTAAAATCAAATAAACAGCATATGAAATTGATAAAAATACACAGATCCACAGCTTATTTGTATACCAGCAAGATCCTTTGCCTGATCATCAAATTAAAAGTGTACATGCAAAAATGCAATGAAATCACATTTAAAATGATTAGATATTTGCCAAGAATTTAACATCCTTTCAGAAAAGAAAGTATATTGAATTTATTACAATATAAGCTGACACTGAATGTAAACCCATGTCAAGGAATTGAAATCGAAAATAAATACAAAAATTAACCATGCTGATCCTATCAATAATGCCGATTTGAAGAGAACTTTTATGGATCCTGAAAAAAAAGAAAAAAAAAAAAAGTATGAAATGTTTTAGATTTTAAATTACGTCCAAAGGGCGTTTTTTAACATTTTGTGTGTTACCTTTCTTTATTAAATATCATGTTCCTCGCACTTAAACCATAAGATCCAGTGCAACAGCAATATCGAAAAATAGTTTTAAAACGAGCATATCTTTAGAATTTCCGATACAGAGACTCACGCGCTGGAGATAAAAATGTTTTTTCTGCACAACGTTGCCATTGCTCACTTTGAAATCCTTGAGTTTGTTAATGAAAAATTCGTCAAAGTTTTAAAAAATAGGAAATCGATCATAAATAAAACAAATTTCAAATTCCAAATTTGGTCTTCCACATGCTCATATTCGTTGGAGGATTACGTTATTCAAAATTCGATGACTCTATGTACCGTTGTTTTATCACAATACGAGAAATATACATACATTTATGCAGATTTTTCATTATTTAATTTCTTCAAATATAATGCAGGACTCTAACATTTTGTGGCAACAGTTTGAAAAGTGAACCGACATTATGAGTCCGACGCAAAATGCCAAAACGAAACTAATAGTCCTTCGGGATTCAAATCCCTTTGGACTAAAAAGTGGCAGATTTGCAATCTCATAAATACCGTATTTCTCTCAAAATTTGTTAATACGCAGAGATTTTACCAATTAACTTTGTTTTCACAAAACTAAGTATGTATTTTTATTTAGATTATATTCGGTTTGGAAACGCTATTCAAGACAATAATACATAATTCAAGGAAATAATCATATTATTCTTATGTTAGTTAAAGAATTTTGAATGTAACATATTGCATGCCCTATCCATAGCAGCTTATGAAAAACATTTAAAATATAAAAATATGAAAGATAAAGGAAAGGCGTGGGTTATATTAATGAACATAAAATTTAATCCAATATTTTAATTAGTGACAATAACTTATGCTTAATTTTATTTTGCAGTAAGTAGTAAAAAACTGATTTCTGGTTATTAAAATATACACTTACAACAAAATGAAATTGAATTTAATTGTACATTTAATTAATTATCAATAAAGTTTATGAAAAGTGTCTATAGGTGCAGTTTAAAGTCTTTCGTCAGAAGAAAAAAAATAAAATTTGAGAAATCTCAGAATACTAGCGACTAGCTAGCATATTAAATAAAGATAAATTGCGAAGAATGATCAATTAAAGTTTTTCTTTTATCTATTTAGAAATGTAGATCTAATAGCATGTCTGCGAATATTATTTCGAACTTAATTTTAGGCTTAAATAAGAACATCTAAGTAAAAATTCTGTAGTTCAGTAACAAATAGCTTTAAACAAATAGTATTTGAAATAAACTGTGAATACATTTGAGGCATTTAAAATTATACATCATTGATAGATTGTATGATTTTAATACCTGATATATAAAATTACTAAATTATAATAATTTTAAATAAAAAGTCTTGCATAACTACTAAAATACCAGCTAATTAATAACTGATACTAATGAATCAATTATTAACTAGTCAACACTAGTTATTCATTGCTAATATCTAATTATTTTCAATTAATTACTAAACATTCGCTGATGAATTACTAACTACTAAATTATTATTTAATTAATCAGTTGTTAAATAGTAAGTTTCTAAATAGTAAATTACTAAATTATAAAATATAAAACATTTAATCTGAAGAAAGTATTTCACAGTATATTAGCAATATGTATTTTCCAGGATGTTATCTCGTAATGTGTTAAATTAATAGAGGTATTGTTATAATGAGCAATTTTTAAAAAGACTGGAGATAATTTTCGAAAGTAGATTCATTATAATATTAATTTCAAATTTTTTTGCTTCATGAAGACTATCTGCAAACTTGTTAATGTTGCAGCAAGAAACGTCACACTTCAAACAATCGTCATCAAACGCACGTGTCGCATATGACCTTGTTCTCATTTCAAGAACAGCTGGAGTTCTAAAACCAAGATCGGCATACAGTAAAACGGCGCTAAATTTAAACATAAAATTTATCACAGAAGTAAAAAAAAAAAAAAAAATTAAAAAAAAAAACAAAAAAAAATTAAAAAAAAAAAAAAAAATTAAAAAAAAAAAAAAAAAAAAATAAAAAAAAAAATCTGAAATGTTTCAGATTTTAAATTACGAAACCTTATAATCCAGTTCAACGCAATCATGCAAAATAGTTTTAAAACGAGCATATCTTTAGAAATTTCCGATACCAGAGACTCACGCGCTGGAGATAAAAAAATTAATTTTTCTGCACAACGTTGCCATTGCTCGCTTTGAAATCCTTGAGTTTGTTAATCAAAAATTCGTCAAAGTTTTAAAAAATAGGAAATCGATCATGAAACAAATTTCAAATTTCAAATTTGGTCTTCCACATGCTCATATTCGTTGGAGGATTACGTTATTCAAAATTCGATGACTCTATGTACCGTTATTTTATGACAATGTGAGAAATATACATACATTTACGCAGATTTTCATTATTTAATTTCTTCAAATATAATGCTGGACTCTAATATTTTATGGCAACAGTTTGAAAAGTGAACCGACATTTATAGGAGTCCGACGCAAAATGTCAAAACGAAACTAATAGTCCTTCGGGATTCAAATCCCTTTGGACTAATAAACTGGTAGAGAATAATCCTTAAGTGGCAAAGAATTACTTGAGTAGAAATTTCAGGACCGTTGTATGCCAGAATAAAAAATGAGATCCTTATGTATGAGTGTCAAAATTGTGACCACTGTAAACGGTGAACCACTTTTCAAATTGTTGTCACCAAATATTATCACCTTGTATTATTTTCAAAGAACTTAATAATAAAGAATCTGCATATATGTAGGTAGGTTCCTCGCACTTTGAAAAAACGATAGGCCGTCAAATTTTGAATTTCGAATTTTGAATTTCGAATTTTATATTTCATATTTTATAAAATTTTAACGAATTTTTGAATAACAAACTCAAGGATCTGTAAGCGAACAGTGGCAACGCTGTGCTGAACAAAACATTTTCATCTCCAGCGAGCGAGACAGATTGATTTTACTTCAGTAAAGGAATGTGTGTCGGAAATTCTAAAGTTATGCTGTTTCGAAAGATTTTGTGATTTTGCTGTTGAATAGAATTTGATGTGGCGTAAGCGAGAAGAACGTGATATTTAACAAATAAAATTAGCATAAAAAAGTTTATAATTGAAAGACAAAAAAAAAAAAAAAAAAAAAAAAAAAAAAAGGGGGGGGGGGGTTTGAAAGCCATCTTACTAAGAAAACTGAATATTGATATGACGACCTGAGAAAATATTGAAAACGAATAGGGGAAATAAAGCAGAATAAGAATAAAAAGCAGAAAAATTCTGAAAGCTTTCATATTTTATATTATTCCCCAAAGGGATTTTTTCCCCATTTTTACATACATACACGTTTCCTAAGCATTTGTGCTTATCAGAAGCAACTGGAAGACTGGGAGCTCAGCAAACGGGTAAAAAACCTTAACAAAACCTTTTGGGCAACCGTTAAAATCTGAACCCTTTCAGACATTTTTTCTTTTTTGTTTATAAGACGGAAAATGAGTTCACGTTAAATAATATAATTTAATGAAATAATCAACATCCAAAAGAAAATATTAAATAGGAATGCTTTTCCTTTTGTTATGTTTCAGTAACATGCTAAGTATGCTGTCAAAGTGAACTCACTAGATACATAATTTAGTGATGGAATGAATAATGATTGAAGAATTTTACCTGCCAAGGCCATTTATTTGGTTCTGTTTCATTGCCACCAACTATTCGACTAGTTAAGACTGGTCCGATACCACAACCTGAAAATAAAAAGCAAAACGATTTCAGCCTCATTTCTTTCCTATAAGTTTAACTAATAACATATGCAAAATTAATGTAGCAATAAAAATTTCCTGCTTACACAGCTAACGATTTGTTTCAAGCTTACGAAGTTATTTATGTTCTTGATGTAATATCGCTCAAAGTTGTTGGATAGAATTTGTATAGTTAATGTACATTCTACTGATGAGCAAATATATACATTTAATATATCTCAATCAGAAAGGAAAGTTTTTGTAATATTTATGTAGAGGGCGCGTTTTTCTCCACTTGCCATAGGATTTGTGTAAATTTGCTGTAAACTGATAAATTTTATAAAAATTTGCGTATTGAATCAATATCTCATCTGATGGATGTTGAATATAAAAAAATGTATGTGAATTTCGAATCTGAAGTTGAAAATAATTTTATGAAATGTTTTACTTCAGGTGCTCCACCGCTTGGCACTGCATGTAAAGGGTGGGATGTCCCGTGGAGGATTTTTTAAGGGAATCTGGCTCTTATCCACTTTACACCTGGGAGAGACCACTGAAACGCCCATGCAGCTAATTCGTTCGTTGAGACTCCAACCCCGGGTTGACTTACCAGTGTTCAGCGGCTTTTACCATTCGGCCGCTTGTGAGCTATTTTATAGCATTGGAATATAAAAATTTCGCGTTCAATGGGCTTAAATATATTATTTTCTGGGTTATACATGGCTATAATTTTTATGAAAAAAAATGTATTTGAAATCTGGTGTTCCATATTAAAGAAAAAGCGTTTTAAAAAAGTAATCTCTGAACAGTAATAACACAATAGAAACATCGTAACAGTGAAATTATTTAGGAGTGTCTCTTAAATGATTTAATCTTTAAAAACATGAGTACATACGAGTGCAAGCAATTTATCAAATATTACGCTGTAATATCAAACGCTTGCGTTCATTTGAATGTAATCCAGAAGTTTGATAGCATAGAAATATTATTTCTTGATTTTACTTCAGTAAAGGAACAGAAAAGAAATGTTTTCACCTTTTCGAATATTGTTACGGCAGAATTTGCCTGCAGTTCGTTCATTAATTGATTAACGCAAACCAGACGAAAGAGATCAGCCTAAGGGAAGGATGACTTGTGGAGGACTTTCTAAGGGAAACTGAATTATATATACTACGGTGAAACACCAAAATCTGGAGAATGTCGACTTTCACCGGTGAAAGTCAACATTCATATAGTCTCTTGGCGTATGTCCGAAATATTTTCCAAATACTCTTATTTCTGACTTACACCGGTCAATGTCGACATTCACCATGTACTAACGGTGAACGTTGAACATATAACAATATTATATTTTCTTCTCCGTCATTCAGTCGCGAATAAACGCACTTGAAACTTGAAATAAGAACTTAAGAACATGAGAACCTAAAACACAATACATTCAAAATGAGAAAGGAAATAATAGAAGTTAAAAACTTACTTAATTATACAGTACGTTCTAAATGAGAAAATAAAATAACAGTCATAAAAAACTTACTAAATTATGTGATTCAAATCTTATTTATTGCAACAACTTAAACTATTATGGCACTTTATGATATCTCTTTTCGACTTTCACCAGAGCATATCTGTGAGCATATCTGTGATTGTCGACATACACCGGTGAAATTCCGAACATACAAGAATGTATTGAAATATTCGGTCTTTCACCGACATATTTGGTGAATGTTGATATTCTCCGGTGAAAGTCGACATTCTCCAATTTCGGTCTTTCACGGTAACATATATACCTTACACATAGGGAAACCCACGAAAACGCCTATGCAGCTAGCCCGTTCGCCTGCTTTCGAACCCCGGACCAAACTGCTAGCGTTCAGCGACTTTGCCGCTCGGCCGTTGATGTGCCTTTAAATAGAAGGAAAACTATAGAAACGTTTCATCTACATATGGGCCCACTAGCGGCCGAGCGGTAAAGTCGCTGAACACTGGTAGTTCGGTCCGAGGTTCGAATCCCGCGAACGGGCTGGCTGCATGGGTGTTTTCGTGGTTTTCCCCATGTGTAACGTGTATACGAGCCAGTTTCCCTTAGAAAGTCCTCCACGAAGGCATCCCTCCCCCCTTAGGCAGATAGCCCTAGTGTGCTTTGCCATAATTAAATACACCTCACCTCACACCTCATCTACATATGTTGTGCATCCTTTGACTACGCAAAGGGTTTGGGTTTATGTGATTGTGGCAAAGCCTCGAGGGCTATCTGCATAATGGGAGGGATGAATTCTTGGAGGATTTTCTAAGGGAGCTGGCTCGTACACCCATGGGGGAAACCACGAAAAACCCCATGCAGCCAGCCAGTTCACGGGATTCGAACCTCGTACCGAACTACCAGCTTTCAGCGACTTTGCCGCTCGGCCGCTGGTGGGCTGTACTACGCAAATAATGCTAAGATAATAATAAATTTCTTACCATACTGATTATAGAAAATCTTTGTTCTGCTTCTCACAGAAGTAATAGCGCGATACATGTTTTTTATACAGGCACTCACCTCTGATGACTGGTTAAATCTGAATTTATGCTGCTTCTATAATCAGTAGTTAAATGACCTGGTTTCAGGAAGATTTTGCGGTTTTCTTTATGAGTAATGTAAATACTACACAGCTTACGTTAAAAATTCTGCTCATGTGCGTCCCATCCCCCTCATATGAAGGCAGCCCCAGTGTGCTTTGCTATATACGAATATTCCACTACAGTCCAGTTCAACTCAGAACATGTGAGATTTTGGAAAGATTGGACCAAAATTATCTTTAATGAATTTCCGCAGGAAAGCGTACTATAATAAAATGCAGGCAGCTAGTGGACATAAAACTGTCGTAGCCACTTTGGCGGATCATTTACGAGCATACAAGAAAAGCACTACATTGAGGAAATGTAATTTTTCTGTATCTGAGTATTGAAAATTCGCAGATTTCTTCTCCGTTTGATGTATGAATTTGAAAAATTATAATCATTGGAAATTTAGTAACCCAATATTTCTTCAAGTGAATTAATTTTCCTGTATCGATATATTTACTCGTGGATGCAACGAACAGAAAACCTGATTGAAGTAAATTATAATATCCGCATAACATTATAATATCCTTATCTGAAGTAAATTGTAATATCCTAACAATACTTAATCGGTTAAAATTGATTTCAGCTCTTGTATAATCAAGATCACTTTAATTTATAAACTGATTTGATTTATAGATTTAAAAATTTGATTTATAAATCCGAAATGGAACACTATGAAGGAAGCATTCAAACTGCATGAAACTGACATCATACGTATATCGCGATGGAATAGGTAGATGATTAAGATTTCAGCACACGCGCACATCATGGGCGAATACAGCGATCTTTAAAATACGTGTATAAAGGGTATAGTGGTTACTATACCCTTTCTACAAGCTTAAGGGTAAGAAAAACTCAAAGCCACAGAATTCTAATCGCTAGAGAATGGAAGTTAATAACGTGGTCTTCAAATAGGCAGAACATGCTCTGATTTCACCCTCCAAAACCTTCCTTTAAATCCTTCCATTATTGTACCTAGTTTGAATATCGCGCGTGCTGGAAATTGTATTCTGGCAGGGAAACGAACTGAGGTTTGATAGGAAAAGTACTTTAACTTAAAATAGCTGTTTAGAAAATTAAATGATACTCTACAATGTTTGAAAAAGTAAAAATGTTATAATGACGTATACATAAAATTTTATCAGATTTTCCTGTCTGATACATTTACGACCAGATTAACGCAAAAAATTTTTAAATCATGAGAATAAGCATTTTTATGCTGGTCCACGCGTAATTTTTGTTACGTTTGGGTTTAAATTTTTGCATAAAGATTTGAGGGCTTATTGTATAAAATTTAAAAATGACAAGATTTTATTATGGAGAGGAAAAGATTAGTACTATTGACTACTAAAGATATTCAGCTCTGTTCTTAACTATTAATTTATTCGTAGTATTTATATATTTCCAAATTTTATATGAAATACAATAACATTCTGATCGTTTTCAAGAGAAAGTCCTGATTATTTAAAACGATTTTAAGGTCTTTTTCGTCTTCTTCTAATTTGCCGAAGCCAGGTGTGCCCCTTTATTAATTGTTTGTGCCTCTAGGTGGGAGGCATTTCCTACGGGTTGCACACCAATTGAATCTTGATGATGTGGTTAAGCTATCGCAGAAAACCAACCTGCGCGTCCTTGACCGCTACCTTAGCTGTAGAAGGATGGTATTCGCTTTCGTCATCATGCTTCCGCATTTTTATTTCAAGTTCTTCTATTCCATTTTCTCCAGTAGCAAGTAAATTCATTTCGGCATTTTTAGCTGCCCAGCTTCTTTTAAGCCTTTAATGATTCAACAAGTTTTTTTAATTTATTTATTACAGCCTTTTAGGCAAAGTATTACCAAAAAGTGATGTTCTGATTTCCCTTTTTAGTCAGACTGGCAAATTTGAAAAATCATTAATTTCTGTTGCATAATCGAGAAAATATTGTTAAGAATTTTATTATTACTATTTTTATTATTATTGTCTATTTTTCAAAAGTGTGTTTTTGTTTTATTATTGTGTGAAGTTGTAACTATATGTCTTTTCTTGTGTGGCAACAACGCTTCTGTAATTCTTCAATTTGAACTTTTGGATGTGTGCCAAGTTTGATGGCGTAATGCTCTGGTGAGAGCGTCGATTGATTGTGTAGATGAAACATGTTGTTTCAGAACGTTATTTCTTTAAAATATGTAAAATAAATGTTTTGTTTTCTGAACTCGGATTATGCAAACGTTATTTAGTTTCAACATAAAAGTTTGGCGTCCGTTTGACAGGACGTTTGTGTGATTTCGAGTAGTTTTGATTTAGGCGTTTTGTTAAAATGGAGTTGTTAAAGGCAAAACGTAAAAGTGAACGTACTTCGTTTACGTTAACTACGAAGATTGTGGAAGAAGAATTGCCTACTTGTACGGATCCTGAGAGATT